GTCACATTTTTTATTAATTTCGTTGTTTAGTTTTTATTTGACTTAATATTCAGTTGGGTTTATTGATTTCAGGAGAGACAACTAGAAAAAAAAAGCTAAATGTAGCTTGTTCAGTAATAACACAAAAGTTCAAAATTTGACTTCGCCCAAACTGCACAGATAATAATTACCAAATACTACAAAAAAGACCACGAACATTATATACAAAACTTCAGTTTCAGCCTAAAATAGAGAGCACTAATACTGTTAAAATTGTTAGTGTTTTATTACTGTAACCAAGAAATAGTTAGTGCTTTTTATTACTGTTTCATAGCCAAACGCTAATTTTTCTAAATTACAGCTGAATGTGAGTTAATGGAAAATATGTCTGTTGTTAAAGTCCATTATATCAATACTAGCCAAGACCCGCAAAACACTTGCGGTAGTTTTCATGTTCTTCGCTTGAATTTTCCTTATTCTACCATTTTCACAAACGTCATTTAAGCTACGATTTCTTGCAAGCATTGTGTGTTAGATCGATAAATCCTGGTCTATTTGAAAAACGTTTACGCGGTTAGACGAACAAACTAACGTAGACGTAACTTCATTTAATGAAACTACACTTACGTAACTTCATGCAATAAAACTACACGTAAAGTGTACAATAAAGTATAGTAATGGTACTTATTATAATATTATAAAGCGTATGAAATAGCTATAAAAATGAAGAATAAAACTGTACTAAAGAAAAAAGTAGATAAAGGTTTTTCATAGCAGTCTATGAAACGAACTGAAGCTACTTTATTGTAAATGTAAAGTTGTAATGAAAGCAAACTTAGCTGATTATGCAGAAACATCTGAATGTGTCTTCAAAAAGTGATAAGCATATGTTTTGAACGAACTGGGCATTCATATTTTAGACCTAAATAAGTCGAGAAAGCCCATAGCAGTTGCATTTAGTGTAATGTTAATTTTTTCAGAAAATTATACCCGGGTATTGTTTGTGTGAAATACCTTGCAAATAAAAAAACAAAAAAACAACTAAAATTGAAATCGAAGCCAGTCGTCAACTGATGACAACAATATTTTTCCATATTGTAGCATACTCGTAGCATTAAAAAAGTTTGACTAAGCAAAAAAGGGGTAAGGTGATTCTAAATGGAAAAGCCAACATGCAATTCGAACTCCTCGGACAAAGACCTTTCTAACAATATGAGATTTGTGGTGTTTGATCGAGAAATTTGCGAGAACATTTTCAGCCAGAAAAACGAAAGAGTATTATTTATATGGATATGAACGTGAACACTAATGCAAAATATGTCTGTTGTTAAAGTCCATTATATCTATCATTCATTGATTAGAGCCCAAATTATAAATTAAAATAAAAAGTTCAAATGACAGGGTTGATAATTTGCAGCGACAATTTTGACTAAATATAGTGAACAAGGTTAGTAAGTTTAAACGACAGCTTAGACTAGCAATTCTAAATTAGGACGACAAACAGAAAGCCAAATATATTCGACATCATGTACGACAATTATAAAAATGTAAAGTTGCAACTAACAATAACAATTGTTATAGAAACAGCTACACCTCGTAACAAACACAAATTGAAAAATTGAAGAAAACATTTATAATTTGCAATAAAATTACGTTAGTTGTGACGTAAAAAAATTAACTCTTCAATGCAATGACTTAAGACAACAATGATAACTATTACCTAACACTGAAATGATTACTCACAGAATTTAACGTTTAGAAACAAGTGTGAGCTACAAAGTTGAGAAAGAATATTTCAAACTTGAACAAATATATATATATAGGTTTTAACACTGGTGACCTTTCTATTTCCGTTGTAAGATCATTTCATGTTAATTCATCTATTAAGAGTTTTCTCATGTTTCCTCATTTCTTCTATATGATAAAGAGCTATTGAGAATGAAAAGACACCAGCTCCATATTCTGAACTTCGCAGCACATCAAGTGTATTCTTCACGAAATATCAACGCATTAATGACGTAAGTACAACTCTTCACGAAATATCGAAGTGTTTGTGATATAAGTACACTTCCTTACGAAATATCGACTCATTAATGATGTAAGTACAACTCTTCACGAAATATCGAAGTGTTTGTGATATAAGCACACTTCCTTACGAAATATCGACACATTAATGACGTAAGTATAACTCTTCACGAAATATCGAAGTGGTTGTGATATAAGTACACTTCCTTACGAAATATCGACACATTAATGACGTAAGTACAACTCCTCACGAAATATCGAAGTGTTTGTGATATAAGTACACTTCCTTACGAAATATCGACACATTAATGACGTAAGTATAACTATTCATGAAATATCAACGCATTAGTTATTTAAGTACACTTCTTGACGGAAGATCGATGCGTTAGTGATTTAGTACAACTCTTCACGAAATATCAATGTGATGTAAGTACAAGCATCAATGTGATGTAAGTACAAACACATGTCTCATTGAAATATTTCTTTTCATTAACAAAACATGCATTCAACAAAATTTCAAAAAGCTAGATGTTTTGGATTTTATACGTTTTATGTAATAGCGTTACTTTGGAAGTTAGCATACCTTGTTGTTAGCAGCTTACTTTAAGCAGAATCTCTGTTAAAAACTTATTCATGTAGTGACATCAGTATGGGTGGTGTCAGCTTTTTCCCGGTGTGGGGTTCAGATGGGCTAGACAAAAAATTAATAGGTCTGCACTCTACATCTTGTGTGCAAACATACTGTAGTATTTAGGATGTGAAATCCGTACCATTTTAGTAAGTTTAAACAACAGCTGACAAAAACAATTCTAACTTATGACGACAAACAGAAAGTCAAATGTATCTTTAAATGACATCATGTACGACAATTATACAAATGGAAAATTGCAACTAACCATAAGAACTGCCATAGAAATTGGTATCTTTCGTTAAAAAAATGTACTGCTTTCTTCTTCTTCATTTTAAGGTCATATTTTTACCTGTTTTTTAATGTTTCCTCTTTTTCTCTATACGATCAAATGATATTGAGAATGAAGAAAACCCATCTGCGCATTCTGAACTTCTAGGCAGTGAATCAAGTGGGTTCTTCACTGCAGCATCTCAGAATTACTTTCTTAAATGTGTTGACAACTGAACTCGCTTGTCTTATGACAAGTATAAATAATTATAATAATTGCTTCGTCACTTTGAAAAAGGCGTCCACACCATAACAATTGTTGTTGCGACAAACGACTTATATAAATAGTGTACCGACCACTACTGTGTTTGTTGTGTCCCAGTTGGCCTGATATGCTCTGGATTTAGCGAAATGCATCATCGGAAATTGATATGGCGAACAGAATACTTTTAATATACACTCTTTAAAAAGTAGTAGATGAATAATGCAGTGTTAAAAATATAATAAGGCTAATAGTAATGTCTTATGACAAATATAACAAGTGCAGTCAGAGAGAAACCATACCCTTGCCTCGAGATTGCAATCGTTTATATTAGCTAACGTCAAATTTCACCTTCGAAAATTCAGAAAACCTTCTGAGATCTAGGATGATTAACGACCCGGATCATTTTTTTGTAGTGTAATGAGGATTCTCAACCTTAATGTGCCCATGAAATTTGATACAGATCCGATCACATTTTACAGAATTATTAATCCAAAACCTATCTCCCCATTATAAAAAAATGCTTCAAAGTGAACCAGAATCCGGTTCCACATATTGCTCCGGACCAAATATAGAGGAGGGCTGTCCGTTACTGACTTCCCATCTTGTGTAAAATGTTCGTGTACATTGGTCTATTAGTTTTCGAGATGCGTGCGCGGGAACACAGATAGATACATCCGCGGACACGATTGCAATACCCTCGACCCCCCTACCCCTTCGGTAATTAATTATAATCGTGCTTTGCCAACTTTGAAAAGGCTTTCGCACCAAACACAGAGACGATTTCTAAACCTTCTCAGTTGATTTAATATTTGTACTATTAATTATCACCAAACGTTTTTTGGGAGGACGCTGAACAGTATGTTATGGAGCAGCGCCAGGAAACTATAAATTCCTATCAGAAACTTGTATGTTTGTAGAATTTCGCGCAAAGCTACTTGAGGACTATGTGCGTTAGCTGTCCCTAATTTTAATGCAATGTATTAGTGGGAAAACAGCTAAACAACAATACCCTCCGCCAACTCTTAGGATACTCTTGTCAGACTGAATAGTGGGAGTTGACTGTCACTCATATAAACACACAAACGGCCACAGAGAGCGGAGCGTGATTTTTATTTTATTTTTGCGGCAATAGGAGATTAACGACACCTAATTATTTCTCGTGCGTGAAATTTACTGTGAAAAGATCACGAACTTTCTCGAATTCCCGGATGCGAGTTATCTCTATATAGAGATATCGCGTCGCGAGAATGAAAATCTCACAGTATTAATGCATCTGTTGTGGTTGACTTTGTAGGAATTTCAGACCAACATCTGTTTAAATTCACTTTGTTAAAGTATCACAGATGCACTTCATAAAAGATTTCCCTTTCACAATTTTTTTTTAGTTTCTTTTTAGAGCCATCGTTTCAGTTATCAACAGAGAACAATGCCACCTGCAAAACAGTTTCAAGTTTAAGAATGGAGTTATCCAACTGAACGCCGTATTAAGAGCTTGAGGATTCCAGGGGAATTTTTATAGGGAAGGGGGAGATAGATCTGAAGTTTATAAATAAATTACATACAATTGCCAGTGCCTGGCGACGCCTCTGATAAATATATTATAATGGCAACGCATTTTTACAACATGAGGTAATGACAATTCTTTTTTTGTAAAAGTTGCCAATCAAATATTTATGAAAGAACGAGCTGTAAGAACACATTAATGAAAAATTACAAACAATATGTTTATAATAAACGACTAAAATCACGATTTTTGTAGTGACATAGTTTCAAACATACGTTTTTCAATGACATATCCAGTTTTTGATTATTTTTTTCTCTCTCAGTCAGAGAGCCCCTTCGATTCCGGGAGGCCCAGTGCAATTACATCCAATTGTATTTCTCTAATACTACCCTAGTCCCACTTTTAGCCGATCAAAACATTATTATTCGTTAAAACAATGATTATGTAGTTCATGTTGAGAACTGATCAATGACAGCAGTGTGTTCGTGGATTGCTACAATATTGAGAGCTGATCAATGACAGCAGTGTGTTCGTGAATTGCTACAGTACTGAGAACTGATCAACGACATCAGAGTCTAACTGTTTGCTAAAACAAACAAACAAAAAACAGACGAATCTACGAATTGCCCTATTAAATGTATTGATAACAGACCTGCATTTCATTATTGTTGGTTGCTTTGAGGAAACAAAACAAATTATCAGAAAAAAGTACAATAGTCTATGAATTATGAATCGTTTTACTTTTCGACCATTAGATACCACAACTATATGAAATACACATTTTTGGGCTATCTGAGCTAGTTCAAAAACAAGTGATTTACACGTTATGGTATTCTTAAAGTTATGTACACTTTATAGTATTTTATTAGAGTACTTCACAGAGTATACTATTTTATTAGAGTACTTCACAGGTTATAGTATTTTATTAGAGTACTTCACAGAGTATACTATTTTATTAGAGTACTTCACAGGTTATAGTATTTTATTAGAGTAACTCACAGATTATAGTATTTTATTAGAGTAATTCACAGGTTATAATATTTTATTAGAGTAATTCACAGGTTATAGTATTTTATTAGAGTAATTCACAGGTTATAACATTTTATTAGAGTACTTCACAGGTTATAGTATTTTATTAGAGTAACTCACAGATTATAGTATTTTATTAGAGTAATTCACAGGTTATAATATTTTATTAGAGTAATTCACAGGTTATAGTATTTTATTAGAGTAATTCACAGGTTATAGTATTTTATTAGAGTAATTCACAGGCTATAGTATTTTAAGTAATTTACAGCAATTTAATTAGGATGTAGGATTTTAAGTACACAAGGTTGCACGGCTCTCTCACTTTGTTTTCCAATAACTGACCTTGTAAGATGTATATTATGTTACAAAACGCTTGCTGTACGCTGTATTCCAGAACAACAATCTTTTAAAGGCTAAATTTCTTTCGGTATAAACTAAAGAAATAATTTTTAGCATAGGATAAAAAAAGCATAGTGCAGTTCATACAAAACTCATTGCATCATTTTTTCGGGTTGTTTACAATAAGTTTGCTTACGATTTGATTAGTGAAAGGACAAACACTTGAAGAGAATGGTCGTTTTCAAGGAACAGGTATTTTACGTCATCAACGCTGAGTTACTAATTGATAAATATATATATAATTTTTCATATATATATATATATATACGAAAAACAAGGGTGTTTCGTAATCTCATATTTACTTCTATAACGATGTTAAATATTGTGTTATCAATGCTTACCGTAATTCTGATTTGTAAAGGACTTAAAATAAAACTAATACATTTCACTAATTTAATCGACTTCACATTATCAGATTTGTTGTTTATGCAACTGCTGACGTAAGTAGCGCCTTGTCCATTACTATGTCTGTTGTATCCCAGCCGGCCTGACGAGCCCTGGAATTACGCGAAAGGTCTCTTTGGCACTGGCAATGGAAATTAGTGTGGTAGACATATTGTTACACATTTTTCTTCTCTTTTACTCATAACTTCTTAGAATTAGGGCAATAATTTCTCTCTTTTGTTCAGATACACAACTACCTGGAAAACCTGGCTGCTGAAAACTCGCCAATTGCTTCAATCTTATCAATTGGAAAGTCTTACGAGGAACGTGACCTAAAGGCCATCAAGGTAACTCACTCAAATGATACTTTACAACTAATAGTCAGTATCACAATAACTCACTCGTGTAAACAGGTGGAGTGAATTGGCTATAATAAACATAAATACCAGTTGTACATACAGTATGTTACTTAAATTACCACTAACATTGTTAGTATGTCACTCAAATTAACACTGACATTGTTACTATGTCACTCAAATTAATATTAACATTTTTAATATGTCACTCAAATTAACACTAACATTGTTAATATGTTATTCAAATTGCCATTAACATTGTTAATATGTCACTCAAATTAACACTAACATTGTTAATATTTTATTCAAATTACATTGACATTGTTAACATGTTATTCAAATTAACACTAATATTGTTAATATGTCACTCAAATTAACACTAACATTGTTACTATGTCACTCAAATTAATAGTAACATTGTTAATATGTCACACAAATTAACTCTAACATTGTTACTATGTCACTCAAATTAATATTAACATTGTTAATATGTCACACAAATTAACACTAACATTGTTAATATGTTATTTAAATTAACACTAACATTGTTAATATGTCACTCAAATTAACACTAACTTTGTTAATATATCACTCAAATTACATTGACATTGTTAACATGTTATTCAAATTAACACTAACATTGTTAGTAATATTCTATTTATATTTTTCTCGAAAGAAAGGGAAAAAAAACCTCAACACTTTCGCTTCAAAACAGCCTAACAGTTAAATTTTTGTACCTCTAATAAAATTAACATTCTTTATGAAATGCCAAAGAATGTTGCCTCTTGCATCTTTGTCATGGCATTCATAGTTATACACCAAAACCACTCGAAACAAGAAAACAGCGTTAAATAAATCTAATTAGAACTGCTTTGAAACATAATGAATACGTTAAACTTATCAACAGTGTGGAATTGGTTATTTTAAACACTTCTTGTAACAGTTACTCTTGATTTTCTATGAAACTTTTTATTCTCAAACAAATTTTCCACTAATGAGGTTGGTCGTATTTTTGTATGCCTTACACAGATCAGTAAAGAAACTTCAAACGACAAACCTATAATCTGGATCGATGCTGGGATTCATGCTAGGGAATGGATCTCAATAGCTACAGCCGTATATATAGCTAAAGAGGTAAGAAAGCACTCGTTAAAAGGTTGATCATCAAATGTAAGTGTTCTAAATAACAAGCCTGTTATCATAGACCAATAACAAAAGTCGTTAATGATGTCTAAGCGTACTAAATTACATTCAAGTGTATAATAATGGCCCCTTTTGATGTGTTCTTGATACTTAATCTCGAAAGATATGTCTTTGTATTTACTATATATATATATATAGTTATAT